CTCCGGACTCGTCCAGGGGACAAGAAGATCCACGAGGAACCGCGGCCATCAGGTCACATGTAACATTCGCTGGTCGAACAGACTGTGTTTTATTTTGAGTTTTGGATCCTGTAGTGCGAGAACGGATAACTCCTATGCCCCGTTCTCCCACCCTTTTTGTGTACACACCGCCGGCAGAAGGTAACGATCTTTCCTCGCCGAAGATTTCCGGGAAGGACGAACCAAACCTCGTCCCTCAGCCGAAGTTAAAAAGCCCCTCTCTGCAGCGAGGAGGCCGAGTCTGCGCCAGCCAGCCCCGAGGCCGCGCCACCGGGAGCCCTCATCTCTCGAGGACTGACTGATTCCCACCACGGGAAACGTACCCTACCGAACGAAGCTTCTACAAGTAAGAGTTACTGGTATCTGGGCCTAGCTTAGCTTAGCATTAGCTTAATTTAGCCTATTCGTTATGTCGTTGTTATTCCTGCATCTTATTACGTTAAGTTACTGTCGTGTTATAACGGGTTAGTGCGCCAGCATCGCGGACCACGGAGTCCCGTTATATTGTGTATTTCCTGCTGTAACCGTTCGCATTAGAGCCATCACTGCTAGTGGATGTGGAGGTTGTGATTTTGTCACTTCAAAGACCAAAACCACGGCGGCGGAGCCTCGTCTCGCCGACCGAGTTTCAGGGTGATGAGAGCAATACTCTCATCTCACCCCAGTGATAAAGATCTGTTTTGTTTTGGGAATTATTTTATTTTGTTTTATTATCTCTTCTTTAAATCGGCTCTGTGAGTGAGATCTAGAACCGCAACTATCACCGTACAAGCGTGACCGGTCGGTTCAGAATCCGACCGCAGAATTTAGGAGTGATCAGCTGTTCCTCACATTCTCACTGCAGCGCCGAGCACCGCGCTCAGAGCTCCTCTCTCTCGCTCTCTCTCTCGCTGTCAACCTCTCTTCCTACTAACCCGCATACACATAGTTAGATTCACTGATTTTGGGTGAACCTCTCAGACACATGGTCGCGTAATCTATTGTCCCAACCCACATTGTGTGCCGTCCCACGTGATTACACGTAGCCACCTCTCAGCTATCTTGTCGCGGGTCAATAGACTCCGCCATCTTTGCTTGTAGGCTCACACGCCCCTGTTTAGGTTACGTACCATCACTGTGTGAGTAGGCCCCCCCCCCCACTTCGTTTCCACACACTCACACACTTACATATATCTATATGCATATCCTTACCCCACTTTATTCATTTGACTTTAGGTATTAGACATATAATTGTATGATAGTGTTTGTTGATTTTGATATTACTTGATTTGATCATTTATTATTTTATTTAATAAACTGTTATATTTTAAAGAGCAGTCGTCTGTGATTACTCGTGCATATGTGTGTAATAATAACTGGATGTAGTGGCCTGTGCTCGAACTTAAACCTTCACTTTCACTCTGAATGTGTAATAGTATTCAGACTGTTGACATTATGAGTGAACGCTAATTATGAGACTTAGTTTTATTGTTTGGTTATTGGTCCCTGTTCGCAGGGTGGTGCCCCGTTATTAATAATCATTAATAATTGTTACCGACATTAATATTTCTATTGATGTCAAGAATTTAGTTTCTTAGATGCTGATAACCCAAACACGCTCCTTTACGTTCCCAACACACTGTTGCTGGTATTTTGGCCAATTCCTCCATGCAGATCTCCTCTAGAGCAGTGATGTTTTGGGGCTGTCGCTGGGCAACACGGACTTTCAACTCCCTCCACAGATTTTCTATGGGGTTGAGATCTGGAGACTGGCTAGGCCACTCCAGGAACTTGAAATGCTTCTTACGAAGCCACTCCTTCGTTGCCCGGGCGGTGTGTTTGGGATCATTGTCATGCTGAAAGACCCAGCCACGTTTCATCTTCAATGCCCTTGCTGATGGAAGGAGGTTTCCACTCAAAATCTCACGATACATGGCCCCATTCATTCTTTCCTTTACATGGATCAGTCGTCCTGGTCCCCTTGCAGAAAAACAGCCCGAAAGCATGATGTTTCCGCCCCCATGCTTCACAGTAGGTATGGTGTTCTTTGGATGCAACTCGGCATTCTTTCTCCTCCAAACACGACGAGTTGAGTTTTTACCAAAAAGTTCTATTTTGGTTTCATCTGACCATATGACATTCTCCCAATCCTCTTCTGGATCATCCAAATGCTCTCTAGCAAACTTCAGACGGGCCTGGACATGTACTGGCTTAAGCAGGGGGACACGTCTGGCACTGCAGGATTTGAGTCCCTGGCGGCGTAGTGTGTTACTGATGGTAGCCTGTGTTACTTTGGTCCCAGCTCTCTGCAGGTCATTCACTAGGTCCCCCCGTGTGGTCCTGGGATTTTTGTTCACCGTTCTTGTGATCATTTTGACCCCACGGGGTGAGATCTTGCGTGGAGCCCCAGATCGAGGGAGACTATCAGTGGTCTTGTATGTCTTCCATTTTCTAATAATTGCTCCCACAGTTGATTTCTTCACACCAACCTGCTTACCTATTGCAGATTCAGTCTTCCCAGCCTGGTGCAGGTCTACAATTTTGTTTCTGGTGTCCTATGACAGCTCTTTGGTCTTGGCCATAGTGGAGTTTGGAGTGTGACTGTTTGAGGTTGTGGACAGGTGTCTTTTATACTGATAACGAGTTCAAACAGGCGCCATTAATACAGGTAACGAGTGGAGGACAGAGGAGCCTCTTAAAGAAGAAGTTACAGGTCTGTGAGATCCAGAAATCTTGCTTGTTTGTAGGTGACCAAATACATATTTTACCAAGGAATTTACCAATTAATTCATTAAAAATCATACAATGTGATTTCCTGGATTCTAACCCAGCACTAATTAATATAAGTGTCAAATAAACCATGTTTAAAAACCACCAACGCTGTCTGTCTACCCGTCTGCTGAATGTTACCCGTCTGTCTGCTGAATGTTACCTGACTATTGACGTCGCTGACGGCCTCCGTTATGGCCAGAGATGCCAGCTGGATGACCAACTCGGGTAGACCCACGTCCTCCAGCAGCCGCAGCACCTGAACACACAAACGCATATATATATTTATATTAAAACTACACACGTTTTTCACTGAGTGAGCGTGGACATTACTTCTTTTGTACCTTGTTGTAGTACTGTAGTCGTACCTCGTAGTGCTGTAGTCGTACCTCGTAGTGCTGTAGTCGTACCTCGTAGTGCTGTAGTCGTACCTCGTAGTGCTGTAGTCGTACCTCGTTGTAGTACTGTAGTTGTACTAAGCTAAAAGTGACCCTTGTGGGACACCATGTTTAAAAAGATAGAAAATAAACCACCAACGCTGTCTGTCTATCCGTCTGCTGAATGTTACCCGTCTGTCTACCCGTCTGTTGAATGTTACCTAGTACTGTAGTCGTACCTCGTTGTAGTACTGTAGTCGTACCTCGTTGTAGTACTGTAGTCGTACCTTGTTGTAGTACTGTAGTCTGGGAGTGGAGGCCTCCTCCTCGGTGCCCGTCAGTTTCATCAGGAATTCCTCCTTCTCCACCTCCGTCGCTGCCTCCTGGAAACACTGCAGAGCCTGAAAACAACAACAACATAAGAAAGCAGCTCCACCAGGTTTTGGTTCCAGTCTACACATTTTAATGTACAGGTGTAGTTGTTGTGACTCACCTTCTGGCCCTCCCCATTGGCCAGGTAACACTGACCCAGCATGAAGCGACAGGAGCCGATGTTCACCTGACACCAGGGACCAATCAGACGCACATACTCCTACACACACACACACACACACACACACACACACACACACACACA